ATTGGCAGTGCACCCCCTGTGATTGGCCACTGCCGTGACTTCCGGCGACACCTGCAAGTGGTTGTTGCTCGCCAACCCCCCTCCCCCTCGCTGCTGACACTGCCGGCGGTGTCTGCAGATGGTCACCAATGGCCACTGCCAATGCTGCCAGTGGTATCTATGGGTGGTCTCTGACTGGTGGTCGGCACTCACCACCGCCTTACCCCCCACTGCGGGTACCACCGCAGCAGCCTGTGGGAGCTCCCTGCTCCCTGCCACCACAACCCCTCCCCACCACCACTGCCACTGTCTGTGCCCCCCAGCCTCTGGGGACATGCGTCGTTCATGTCCTAGGCCCTGCTTCAGTCTCAGAGTTGGGGCCTGGCAGCTGGTTGCTGCTGGGGAAAGGGGTGATGTCCTAGCCCCAGCTCTGATCAGCTGATTGGGAAGCAGGCAGCTGCCCAGGTGAGGGGACAGTTCTCCTGCCCCCTGCTGCCTGGGCTGACCAGGAGCAATCTGCTCCTGGTCAGCTGTCTACTCATGCACTACTGCACAGTAGCTACTGTGTGGTAAATTTACAACCTGTATTACATTATGTAACACACGCAAGTAAAAATGTTTGGTTGTTAGTAAGGTTTTATTGCAGTAAAAAAATGTTGGTTGTCAGTAAGAAGTTTGCAGATTATCAGTAAAAAAATTCTTGAGTTGCAACCCTGATTATGATGATAGACAATATGGTTTTGGATATGTTATAAATACTTAAAGACTAATAAGAAATGATGTAATCTATTATATGAATCACAGTTTGAAGGCTGCTGGCATTTTAAGAGATTAGAAACACTATGTTTATTTCCTGAAACAAATTTATAGTGAAAGCCAAATGCAGTGAAATCAATGTTTGTGTATTCCTTTTTGTAATAGAAAAGTGTTAGTTTTCCTCTTGTCTACATAGTAGCACAGTATAAATGGTAATTTTCCAAGAGAGTCTCTTGTATTTACACAGCTGTGCAATACCTGCCCTTTATCTTCAGATGAATTTGTCTAACACCCTCATTTTGCCTTGAATACTCTTAAGCACACATCCATCAGGCCCAGGTCAGGGTTATAATTTATTATAACAATACACCTGTGGCACTGGCAGGATCCTAAACTGTGGAAGATTTGTAACAATGACTTCTGGATTTTACAGTTGGAATACATGGGATTCAAATATTGAGTATGCTCCATAAATCCTTGCACATCAGGAGTATATATGAGTTTAGAAAAATATATTTAAATCAATTTAATAGGCTGCTAGAGTTAAGAAAAGATCAGTTTGTCAAAAGCAGTAAGTGTTTTGCCTTTGACATCAGTGGATTTTGGTTTGGTTCAACATAACTAGGGGGATTAAAAATAAAAGCATAGTGTAAAATCAATCATCTACTTGAAAGTGCTTGCAGAATACATTTAGGGCCCTGAACCTGGAAGTCCCTGCTCTTATCTTAAACTTGTGGTGGTACGTCTTTCTCTGCTTTCCTTTTACATTTCTTGTATCCCCACTTTTGTGCCAAAGGTCTAGATATCCTTTCTTAATGTCATCAGGGACCTACTGTCTTTTCTGATTTGCATTTATTTCCTGAATTTATATTTGCCACATTTAAAGAGGTCCACCAAGTTTTAAAGATGCCCCCATAATAATAAAAACACATGGAAGACATGTATAGGTTGGGTCAAAGGCCACATTGAAGGTATGCATTTTTGCCTACTACAATGTTGTCATCCTCTGAAGTGTCTAATAATTTCAAAGTGGGTGGTTACTTGACCCATTTTACAGATGGAGAAAATGATGCATAGAAAAATTAATATTCTGATTCTTCAAATATGCTGAGTATGCACAGCCCCCAAGGGCTTTAGCAGAGGTTTCAGAACCACTGAAAATGAAGTCTTTATTGATTTCCCCCAACTCACACAACCGTTCCTTTACAAAATATGACACAACTCCTTAACTCCTGTCTCCACTTTAGGCCTACGCATTTGTTGTGTGCCAAACTATTTGTTTTAGTTGGCCTTTGCACCATTTAAGTGGCTACCCTTATCTACAGGAGTGATTATAACATAAAGTGATGCCTCAAGAACATCAGGGCTGCAAATAAAATGGGGAGCACTTCAAAATTAAAAATTAGGGAAACATATTTTTAAGCACTAATTCTTAAATACCTAAACACTTGCAATGAAATTTCCTTCTGGATTCAAAGAAATACGAGGCCCCAAATGCTCAGAGATGGTGCCTTAGAAATAAGAGCTACGACAACCTGAAGAAAAGAAAGAAAGACGTGGAAGGAATCAGTTGCCAGATTAAGCATTAGCAGATATTTAATATGTGACAGGCAACAACTTCTTAGAGTGGTGTCTTTTATTAAACCAGCTATGATGTTGAGATAAAGTTGGACAAGCTTTCGAATGCAAGACATATTCTTCCTTAGGTCTCTGAGCACGGAGAGCCAGGTACAGTATAGTTAATAATCAGGCAGTGCACCACACATCAGAGATAGGACATTAATAGACAGGATTGGAGGCCTCTCTTTCTTTTCCTTCACAAAATTGTTCCAAAGGAAAAGAGCTGGTATCTAAATGCAGGTCCTTTCTGCTTCCTCCTTGCCACCACTGCTGACTGGTGAAGTTATAAAATACATCAATTAAGATGTTTGCAATTGCTGACTGGTCTGGGCACTGAGATGGGCCAGCCCTTCCTAGCCTCCAAGGCTAAGAGGGGACTGAGGAAAGGAAAGGCGATGGAAGGAACGTAGAGGATATCACTGGAGTTGGAAATACTCACTGGGGCAGTCTTAAGGCTAGTTGAGGACTCCCTTTTGCCCCAGGTGTCCTTTCACTGAGTGCTTCTGGGTCAGGGACACGGGAAATGTCCAGGCCCAGCTGCAGCCAGAGGGGAGAGGGAGTGGGGTGCTAATACAGTCCCAGCCTGGGACGGGCATCTGGGGGCTCCTCAGGGGGACAGCGACAAGGGTCCCAGGCCGGGGGGGGCTGTGCCCCATTCCCTGGGCAACAGCTGCTACCGGCCAGCTGAAGGGCCAGGCGGGATGGACGCAGCTGCTTTGTGACTTGTTGCCACAGCATTCTGATGACCACCCCTCAGCCAATCAGGCGTGAGGCTGTTGCCATGGTCTCTGAACTGCAACACTTCCCTGTGCACCAGCTGCAGAGCAAAGGGGAGGAAGCCTGGAAAGGTCCCTCTCCCTGCTCCAGCACCCTGCACCCTGGAGCAAGCGCTGCTGAGCCTGGCCGGGCTCCGGGGAAATCAGGTAGGGCTTCCTGCACACTGCTCCTGCCTCTCTTCCCAATCACGCTGCCTGCTTGGGCCGTGGGAGCAGCTGAAATGGGAGGTGAGGACAGCACCGGGATGGCTCTTGGCACTGAGCTGCCAGTACCACCTCCTCCAGCTACTCACTGGCCCCACGGGCCAGGCCAGTCTGGCTTGATTGTGTTCAGCTTGAAGCAGGGCTGGGAATAGTGGCTACAGCAGAGTCCTTGGCCAGTTGATACAGCCTGTTAATGCCAGCAAAAAAATCCCTGACGGTCTCTTGCCAGCAAAGAAGCCCTGTGCATGCCTTGTAAAATAAAGCAAATCTCACTTCCCTCATCCTGTTGTTTGCAGAAAACAACAAATAGGCTGCAAGAGGTGCTGGCGTCATCATTCCTGCTGATGCATGGGGTGTAACCACTGCAGTGTGCAGAAACACCATCATAAGTTGAGCCCCTGCCTGTGATGGGAATCCACGGCCTATCTTTTATGATCAAATGGGTATTTATCATTGCTAGAGAGACCCAAGACTCCAGGGCCTGCTGCATGCCTTGTTATCCCTTTTAAACTAGAATTCAAGATCAAAACACTTCCCTTTCCATACTGACATCTCTCCCAGCCGCACACCCACTTAGCGAATCAGGCTAATACCCAGTTGCCAACTGTGCTTTTCATTCCAGGATCTCAAAGTCTTTTACTAAGCATAATTAGCCACATTTTTTTAGCTGGAGAAAGGGAAGCATGAAAGGTGAAGTAACTTGCCCAGGGTCAGTCAGCAGGTCAGTGGCATACTCAGGAGCAAGTCACCTGAGTCCCTGTCCAGTCCTTGTCCAGTGGCTTTTACTGCCTTTCAAAGCACTGTTGCTTTAAGGCCCAGACTTGTAGCTACCACTTAAGTTCTATTGATTTCCCTGCGTTATCTGCTTTGTCTGCTGCAGAGTCAGGATTAACACCAGTTGTATCCTGAGAGTCCCCTGGTAACTACAACCCACCGTTTAGCCTAACATTAAAAAAAGATGTGAAAGATCATATTGAATTGCAGTCTCAGGCATTCACGGATGGTCACTGTTTCACTCCCAAACACCTAGCATCACTGTGCCACACTTCTGGGCTTTTCTGTTCACGCAAGTAAAATAAAAATACATTATCCACCATTTAATTCAGTGCAAAACATTCTTTTTTCTCACAGCCGATCTGGAAGCGTAGTTTAGGCTCGCATCCTGTGGATCCTTGTACATAGTGATCCACGCCAGCAGCCAATATCTCATAGGGGATTTACAAATGGAACTTAGTCAGGCTTGTATTTGCAAAACTGGGTTTGCTTACGGCTTAATTGCCTTAAGCTTTCATATGGCTTCACATTGGCTGTGGCTGAAAAGTTCCCTATTTATCACACTTGTTAAGTGCTTTAGGATCTGTATAGATAAAAGGGACAAGGTAAATGTCTCAATGTAAATTAATGTTTAATCCTGTTGGCAGCAATCCCTCAATTTGAGGATGATCTCCACTATGGCTCATTGATGGGTCTTGAATTCTATCTATCTTGTATTCTGTTCTATTCTATGTATTTAGTAATCTGTTTTAAGGGTCACTGTGCAGGTGGTGCTGCTATTATAAACACTGTTAGATATATTCTCTTTCTGGGTATATGCTGTATAAAACTGCAGTGCATTTTTATTTTTTTTAGTGTCGGGTTTTTTTTCAATTTTCCTTCCACTAATCACATCCCTTTTCAGCTCACCGTGCTACTTGCTGCTTGGATCACAGGAATATTCTAAAGAAAAATGCATGAGGATTCAGTGGCGTCTTCCCTAGCAATTCCATCAGCTGTTAGTAATGATGGCACCGTGACTGAGGAAGATTTGTCTGAAACCACTGCCGATGCCACTCAGACGCTGATCTTGCCTCACTGGTTTAAACAATCCAAGTCCCGAAAGGCGTATCTAAGGTCTTTCCATGCACATGGATTAAGGCCACCCCAATGCCCCCGGCGTATTATCATTGCCCCACCTATGCCAAGACCACCATATCCATGTTTAAAATTAGCTCAGCCCTCAGTGGTCTGTCAAAAGGAGGAAGCAACACCCAAACAGGAAGCTGAAGTCAGTCCGGGGGCTCCTGAAGACGAGTCGGATACAGAAGAAAAAATCCAAAAATTTGATGCTTGGATATTAGAAAGAAGAAGGCTGAACGCTGAGGTGGAGGGCTCTGAGGACTTTGAAGAACGACTCAAGTACAAGGTTCCCCTCAATAAGCAAGAAAAAGAAAAATGGGAAAAAATCAAGGCGTCCAGACCAGTGAGTAAGGCTGAAAGCCAGCCAGCAGAGCCCGACGACCTCAAGGTAAGGATGTGCTGCATCCCTCTGTCCTTTGGAAAGTCACACCATGGTGGTTGAAAGCCAAACTGCTCTTTCATGTTCATTGGGTTTGGTTAATAAATGTGGTTGTGCAGCAGGGACCAGCAGCAGTGTGGAAAGATTTCCCTGTCTGTAGGTGCTAGTGTTAATCATGGGTAGGGTGACCATAATAATTTTAGGGAAATCTGGTCTGAGAGGGGAGGGAAGGGGGTCAGTAGACACACACCATAAACACACGGTGTGTCTGCACCCAGCTCTCCACATGGATGCACACACATGCACACACAGCCCTGACCCTGTGGCTCCCAGAAGCCCTGATGGCAGAGCAGGACAGCATGTAGACCTGCAGCCAGGCTCCATCCCCTGCATGCAAAGGCTGAACCCAGGTGGGAGCAGCCTCTATGTGGTGCCCCCAGGCTCTGCCAACCTGCTCTGTGCAACCACTTGGCACCCTCCCACTGCCACTGGCAGCCCAGGGCCTTGGCAGTAGCCGCAGCAGCAGGGAATGAGGCTGGTGGAAGCAGGTAGCCACTCTGGCTCCACCAGCCCAGCTTGCTCCATGCAGGTACCTGAGACCCAGCCCTGGTCCCCTCCCCTGATGCCATCCTGCTGTGGGCAATCCCCACCCCAGGCAGAAGGAGCCATGCTCAGCCAGGGCACTTGCAGGCAGGGTGGCACCAATATGGGACTTTTGCTTCAGTTCTAACCAACCAGCCAGGACAGCCTATGAAATCCGGGACCGGCCCAGCCAAGCTGGGACATATGGTCACCCTAGTCATAGGTCCTTGAATTTTTCTCAATACACACAGAACTCACAGAAATAGTAGGCCAGAAATCCCATCCCCTAGCCCTTGACCTTTGCCACTGGCAGTCCCTCCCCTTGTCCCCAGGAATACCTCTTTGGGGTGCGGGGGGTTTCATAGATTCATAGATTCATAGATTAAGGGTCGGGAGGGACCTAGTAGATCTTCTAGCCCGACCCCCCGCCAGGGCGGGA